TTGAGACACGAGCACGCTTACAGACGCCGACGCTAGGTGGCCGAGCAAACAAAGAATAAAGCCCAGAGTATATGCTGTATCTGCTGAACTCCCCAGCACCAGTAAGAACTGAAGAAGCCTCTTGGATGAGAGGTGAAAGGTCTTCTTTGATAAAATGTCACGTCCAGCTGCCCAACAGAACTCTTCAACCTTGACCTTTGATAAAATGTCAGAACTCTTCAACCTCGACCTTGACCTGGATGACTGAGAAGTTCGAACTCGTCAACCTTGACCTTGACCTGGATGACTGAGAAGTTCGTAGATTCTCGTGTTTACCGTGCAAACTGGTTTGTGGTACAATGTCAAATGTCGGAATTACGGAACAAGAATTTCTTAATCATTTATTGGCGATGCAGCCACTGTGACCACCAAACACCGTAGGTTGAGTAGGTTGACTGAGGCTGGTCTGAAACAACCTGGGTGACTGACGTGAAGCTCCACAGACATGTGCCGGCGTTTGAGATGGTATTTGAGGAAAATGTTTTCTGACAGTGTGCACAAATAACAACGGTGTTTGAGCAACGAGACAAGGAGGTTCATTAACATAATCAGCACAATTAAGGCATTGATTTGGACGGCCCTAATATAAAGATAATAGTTTCGAGAAAACTACCTAAAAGTATCACTGTCCACAGTCAGTTTAAAGGGAAAACAGACTGAATTACTATTAACCAAGCAGCCATTTAGTCACGCTCTCATTACAATGCTATTTGTTTTCTTTATATTTTTTAATAAAAACAATGGGAAATGAGGCACCGTAGTCTTTTATTGTGTTTTTTTTTCTTCTCTGATCAAAGACAAAAACGCTCCCTTGTTTGTGACGTGTGAGTTCTAATGAGCCGCTGACTAAGTGTAGCCGTTAAACCAAAGAATAATGAGCCACAACGGCTCCATTTTTCCCCACATACTTTCTCCATCATGTTAGCATACCAACACAGCACACGTGAGTGAGTTGTCGATGAGTGGACTCGCACGTACTCATCCTTTTCCAACAAATTGGTCCTGCTTTTGTTATACCCACTGGCTAATGATGTCTACAAGCGCTTCCTGGTGATTTACTGTAATTGCTGCAAAATAAAGCAGCAGCTGTGAAGAAAATGTTTAAAAATATAATCATGTCAATCAGATTTCATGGAGAACCAATGAAACCCATCATCTACAGGTGCGGGGGTTTTCTTTCATCAACTTCCAACAGGTCATCTTCAGATCGTCCTGCACAAATAATATTATTTTCTTTTCAAACTGCACAGTGGTGTTCGGGCAGGTTTTCAATTAAAAAAACCAGCTCCAAACCAGAGTCCATGTGACGCACGAGTACGACTGCAGCGATCACCGCTGCTCACAGTTTAATATTTATTTTTTCCTATTCCGCAGACTTTGTTCAATTTCCACAGACAGACACTGGCAATGTGATGAGCCGCGCTCCTTGACAGGAGAAGGTCTATGAACCTCTTCAATTCATTCACTTCACTGAGGCTTTTCAGAGTGCGATCAATCGGAGCTGTGCATTTTCATAAATATTTTTATTTTAAATAACACTTTCCATCTCGCTCCTTTAATTGCAGAGCGATGCTGATTTCGTCCCTTTAAATGCATTAATGGTCGGAGGATTTGCATTTATATTGGATTTTCACTCACGAGAGCCTCAGATAGAGCTGCGAACAAAGACCCAACAGAGAACACGCATCATCTGATACACATTCAACCCCTATAATAGAGTACAAGCCTGTGAAGGGAAGAGGCTTGTATGACCAGAGAAGGCCGTCGGGTCTCAACAGTAACTGAAGCACACACTGACATGCGTTATTGAGCCGTAGCTTTGTGGCGAGAGAATGAAGCCAGCAGTGGAAACAGCTTTCTCGCGAGCGATGAAGAGGAGGAAACATCGGAAAAGAAAAAAAGAAAAACACTTCAAGATCGCAATCACCAATCATTACAGGCACCCGATGCTCTCCAATCACTTCGAGGAGATATACATCTTGAAAGGAAGAGGATAATTGTTGCACCCGGGTGTGTCCGAGCTCCTCAAGTGACCGTGACCTTTCCACAGAGGGCGGAAGTGGCTTCTGCCTCCATCCTTTAAATTAGGCCCGATGCCCATCCTATTAAAACCAGGCAGATTTGTTTGTCGTTGATCAGGTTGGCATTGTCTCTGCATGCGTTGGTGCCTCCGGGGTAATCTCTCTCTGTAGCAGAAACAGAGTGAAATGGATGCTTTGTCTCTCTGCAAATCTGATTCAACCACTTTTCACCACTAAACCGTCAAGGCAGAGAAAGTCCCCGGGGAAATTCATAAAGCCATTCAGTCCTCATTGCCGGTTAGAGCAGAGCAGGAGCCGGCCAATCGTGTGCCAAAGAGGCAGCACTATGTATAATTTCATTTCAACCAAACACTTCACCAGCTGATGTTGCTTCTTTTCTTTTTTTTTCACACCCTCTCCTTGAAGACTTACTAATTGCTGGACTTAAGTGGTGGTCCATACTGGGTTGAAAATCCTTGGACACAGTCAAACACTTAGACTTAAGGGAACGCGTTATCCTCTTGCCTATTCACAAAAATAAAATAAATAAATCTTAGCCTAAGAGCTTTGCTTTCACTGAGTACAGTCAGACAAAAGACACAGTTTGCACTCAAGGGCCCTGGTGTTGAGAGCTAGCTAATGAATTTAGACAATATTTTTGACTATTATGTTATTTTTGTTTGTTTTGTTTTGTTTTTTTTGTACTTTTTGCTAAATAGTTTGAAATTGTGGCGCTTTGGCCAAGAGGCAACGTCTCTGTCATTGGTGTTCACCTCCTGGGCAAGATCAAATCCTGGTTAGGGCGGTTGGTACCTTCCAGTGGACTCACCACCTGCAGGTTGACAAGGGGCTTGTGCGGTGCAGTGTGATTTGGGGGGTGGTCGTGGAGACTGCTGCCCCCGCGACCTGGTAACGGATAAGCGGAAAATGAAAATGGATAGATGGATAGTTTGAAATTCGCCCTGATGATATTTGACGGGTGACACATTGAAAGCCAGTAAGAAATTGGTTAAGAAGGTAAAAACAACTGGGCCGACCAGCATCCAGCCATTCTCCCAGCAGCAGCCAACGCTCAGGTACAAACTTGGTTTTTATAAATCAGTGCAGCCTCACAGACAAGCCTCCAGCTCCACGGCTGCGGAGTGTCTGTGCACCGACGCTTTAGAAGTTTTGTGCCTCCGAGATTCCTGTCTCTGTGCAACATTGCGTTCTGTCAAGTTACACATTATGCAAATGTGTTGTTTACTGTTCATGTGACAATATCAAGGCATGAAAGTCGGTGGGGACTGCTGCCGAGAGAGACAGTGGAAAGGGAGAGAACAAACCTGGCAAATAAAACTGCCAAAGGAACGCGGCAAATGAGTGGTTTGCTCTCTTAGTCGCTGAGTTCAGTCTTGTCTTAGTCTCGTTGTTCAAAGACAGAGAGGGAAGTAATGTGAAAAAAAAGGCAAAACTCTAAAAAAGTGGATGGCAAAACAGTCCACATCTTCTGTAGGCTGTGACATATGCAATAAAAAGTAAGTATATACAGTAAGTGGCTAAGTGTTAGCAGCACGCAGTGACATACAGTCCAGCTAGCGCCAAAGTAACATTTAGTTTGATATAAAATCTCTCCACAGGATGAAAACTGAGCAGCAAAAACCACTAAATAACAAACGTCAACCTGCAGTAAAGCCCAGCATTTTTCAAACTGCAATAGAGTTGGATGTGTTTTTTTTTTCTATAATTAATTCAAATATAAGTAGGGCATCAATATATGCACTGAATGAAACCTAAATAGATGGATAGTTTGAAATTCGCCCTGATGATATTTGACGGGTGACACATTGAAAGCCAGTAAGAAATTGGTTAAGAAGGTAAAAACAACTGGGCCGACCAGCATCCAGCCATTCTCCCAGCAGCAGCCAACGCTCAGGTACAAACTTGGTTTTTATAAATCAGTGCAGCCTCACAGACAAGCCTCCAGCTCCACGGCTGCGGAGTGTCTGTGCACCGACGCTTTAGAAGTTTTGTGCCTCCGAGATTCCTGTCTCTGTGCAACATTGCGTTCTGTCAAGTTACACATTATGCAAATGTGTTGTTTACTGTTCATGTGACAATATCAAGGCATGAAAGTCGGTGGGGACTGCTGCCGAGAGAGACAGTGGAAAGGGAGAGAACAAACCTGGCGAATAAAACTGCCAAAGGAACGCGGCAAATGAGTGGTTTGCTCTCTTAGTCGCTGAGTTCAGTCTTGTCTTAGTCTCGTTGTTCAAAGACAGAGAGGGAAGTAATGTGAAAAAAAAGGCAAAACTCTAAAAAAGTGGATGGCAAAACAGTCCACATCTTCTGTAGGCTGTGACATATGCAATAAAAAGTAAGTATATACAGTAAGTGGCTAAGTGTTAGCAGCACGCAGTGACATACAGTCCAGCTAGCGCCAAAGTAACATTTAGTTTGATATAAAATCTCTCCACAGGATGAAAACTGAGCAGCAAAAACCACTAAATAACAAACGTCAACCTGCAGTAAAGCCCAGCATTTTTCAAACTGCAATAGAGTTGGATGTGTTTTTTTTTTCTATAATTAATTCAAATATAAGTAGGGCATCAATATATGCACTGAATGAAACCTAAAGATTATATTTTCTGCTCGGTCGAGACTCTTTTTTTTTCCTTCAAACTGCTCAAATTAGTCTGGAAAAAAAATGGAAAAATGCTCTTAAGAGACACGTGGAGCGCAGAAAGTGCACTTATAATATATATATATTTATATAAAACAAGGAGTTTGCAGCACTGAGAGAGGCTGTAAGTGTGTATATAAACGCACTTAATAAGTTTAAAATGTCAACAGTGTTGATTTTTGGAAACAAAATTTCAACCTTGTAAAAACAGTCAAAAGGACAGTCTCTTAAAAAGTCAGTGTGTGTGGAGTCGGTGCACGGGCTTCGAGTGGACTCACCTATAAATTTTATATCTGGTCGTAAATCCTTGCCGGAATCTTTCCACAAAGGACAGATAACTTCGAGAGTGGTGGAAAGGTCCGCGGTCAGAGATGAGCCAGTCATATTGCTTGGTGACATGTTGCTCAGTTACCAATGGGTCCTGGCGGGAAGACTGAACTGTTATATGGTCCCATATAAACAGGAAGCAGATGACCTCAATAAACCTCCAGTTCATGCTTTTTCTTAAGCCGCTCTCTGTTCATTCTCGCTCCATTATGTGGAGACCTGCGAGGAGGGGAGAAAGAGGAGAGGAGACAGAGAGGAGAGGAGAGGAGACAAGGAGGAGATAGCCGTTACATGACCGAGTCTATTTGAACCAAACAAGAGAATGTCATAGCGCTGGGTTAATTGTGTTGTACTGAACAAATAAGACGGTGCCCTTGTCAGTGTCACTTCGCCGTGACATGTATTTGTTTTCACAGCGACTCTTCTCCTTCTATGGAGGTTGTTTTTAAACACCACACAGACTGTGTCCCTCCGTACACGCCGTCTGTGGATGAGCGTGGAGCCGTACATCGAGGGTTTTTTTCTCCCCGCCCGTAATTGGTATCATGATATATTCTGACAAGGTTAGAAGTCCGCTCCGTGATGTGTTATGACGTCTAGCCTCAAACATGGAAGAACACCGTCTCCCTTTACCCAGCGGTGTCAATTACTGTAAAAAGGAAACATTCAAGCGTTGAAATGTCGTAGCTTGTTGAAAAAGTCCCTTTTTCATGGAAGACAAAACGACACTCTTGGTCTCTCATTGATATTAGTATTAGAGCAGGAAGGTGTGAATGAAAGACTCCCAAACGGAACTGCTTCAAGACAGTTTAGGTCAATATGAGAATCATAGATTATTTAACACGAACGCTCGTTGACTACGGAAACACAGAACATAATGAAGAGCAAATGTGAAATTCTCCTCAATACTTTCCTCTTGAATTCTCCTTTAAAATAACTAAAACGTAATATTAAAATATTGTAAAAAAAAAAATAAATAAAACGTATGCCTTGCTTCCAGAATATCTTTAAAACACATAAAATACAAAATTGGGGTAGTGGTGGCTTAGTGGTTAAGGACGTGGACTTGGGTCCAGAAGGCTTTAGGTTCGAGTCCACCAACTGCCAAGTATGGGTTAAAAGCAGAGGTCACCGCCACATGCTGCTGCCCCACTGTTCACTTTGGTGATGGGTTAAAAGCAGAGGTCACCTGTGTCACAATGACAAGGAGTTCACTAATCTAAACTAATTGTGTTTGTGATCGTTTGCTGCCAACATTGACATTTAAGTCAAAATTTGAATCATCGCAGGCCATAGAGAATTCATAGGTGAACATCAGAATTACGGATGAAGTCATTCACAGGTCACTAAATGTTTAAAAAACAATAGTGTAAATTATACCATACCATGTGAAATATCTTTCATCTCTTTTTGGCAAAAGTCAAAGTTTGACTACGATACACAAAAGCTGTCTCCAACATCACATCGCGGCCCGTGGAATTGAAATCAAAGAGCCCATTAGGACGATGGACATTAACACACACTCATCAGTAAAATGTTCTTCAGTTACTGATAAAGAACTGTGTTTCATCAGTAATTGCATTTAAGAACTTTGGCCTCTGGCTGTGCAGCACCCAACGCTACGGTACCAAATGCTTGTGTGCAAAAAAAAAAAAAATCACCACCCGTTTATGGTTTATTAGACAACACATCATAAAAGAGCAGAGAAAATTTAATGGTCCTAATCTTTTGCTGTTAAATAGATGATAAACTGCACGATGGTAAAACGTTGAAGTCGTCACAGCAGCGTTGTCTTTCTGTCCTACTGTTGTGTAGCCGCTTCTTAGTCACATGTGGCATTTTATGTCTTAGCACCATGACATAAAAAAACAATCTACCTACAGTGTATCTACTTGTCAAACTAATAATAATTATGCTGCCGTGTACACAGCATATACTGTACATTTGGTCCAGAAAAGTGATTATCAACACTTCAACAACTAAGAAAAACACTTCAGCTATAATTGCAGTTTTTGACAAGTAAAAAAAAAACAGTTGACTTTTTTTCCACACATCACTGTCAGAACATCATTCTTACACGTCGACCACAGACTAATTGGTTTCAGACAACATTTAAAATTTAGATTCAAGATTAAAAAATATTTACATAAATATAGAGGAGTGAGGATGACGGGTGAAGAGTTGACAAAGTTGCGCCTGTTTTTTTTTCTTTTTTCTTTTTATCTTGTTGGGTATTTTGCCCAATGCCGCCTTGTTTGGGCCGTTTTATGACTTAATATGAAAATCAACAGCTCGTGTTTCCAATTATTCTGGCGTTGAATTTTATACCTGCGACTATTCCCTGTTTTTGTGTGGAACCTCGAAATACCAGCATCCCGACATACGAGTATTCCAAGATATGAGCAAGACTTCGAACAAATTTTTGCTTTGAGATACAGGTAAAGATTTGAGATATGAGCACGCTTCCAGACGCCAACACTAGGTGGCCGAGCCCACGCCGCCTCACTGGCCTCACAATTAATATGTTTTTGTTTTTTTTTATCTACCTGCTTCTTTAGAAACAGGGTTTGTGTAAAGAATTCCTGGTGACATTTGTTTTCCAGAGCTACTCCAGCCGTGAAAATCATTCCTGCAGCTGACTGACAATCTTAGACCCCTCCACTTGAAGCATGGCCTTAATCTGAATCCTGAAAACCCCCCGGGGTGTGTACATTTGCATTCATATGGACACATAATGACGGTGGGATCTTTAGTGCTTTTTCCAGTAAGCTGGATTTTAGTCCATATGTACGTTAGGTTAGGTTATGTATTTCCATGAAATATATTCATCTCTGCAAGATTTCCTGCTCGCTTGCACTGTGAGTCGGAAACTCATCCCCTCACCTTAAACCAAAATTTATTGCTACATAAAAAGAAACTCAAATGGAAGCAACGACGGCAGGCGATAAAGACGAATGTTGAGTAAATACAAGGGGTTGCAGTTGTATGTTTATATATATGTCTATATATGCATCACCATCCAAACTTTACACCTGAGTCAGACGAGTGGATGAACTGCCAACTTCACAGCCGGACGCCGCCGCTGTGGCTCAGTGTACAGTTATGTAGAAACCATGTCCACATGGGGTGAGGTAATAATGTTGTGATACTTTAGGGCTTGTAGTCCCGTGGAGCAGTGCAGCAGCTGAGCAGCAGGAGACGAGCAACGACTTGGAATCAGACGTTCTCTAATTCACCCCTCGACAGACACACAAAGGACGGTAGAATTCACCTCAGTGGATAATTTGTCGAAATATTAAAATCATTGTAAAGTGCTCAACGCCTCCACTGGCCAACTGTAACACACCACTGCATTAAAGAGACACTAAAGGTGAACGAGTGCCTTTTTTGTCGAATGAAATAAACCATTTGGTTAATACTCTGTGCCCAGATTCAATGCCATCACAAGGAGAGCCAAACCATTTGGCAAAGAACCATCGGAATGGTTCAACAGCTGGACCAGGCCACCACTACGGCCGATCCCGCAGTAGTAATAAGGAAGGTTTCCATACGACATTCACCAAAACAAAGGACAATAACACACCGTGACATTTAATCAAACGAAACCTGCAGGCAGTTGGTCTCTGACCTGTGTGTTTCCTCTGGATCCAAATATTGATCTAAAATATGTTATCAAAAATTAGGGTTGTCAAACTTAGGAATGTTGGATAATATTGGTCGAGACTAGCAAAATGATGTCGGTAAGAATCGTTATCGGTTTTTCCTCCGATAATGAAAACCTGATAACACAATGCCATGTCATTGTCATTGTGACACGGCACGTGTGCAGAGGCGCGCTGCATTTATCGGTATCGATTGATATCGGAATCGGAAATTGTGTTGGAAAGTGTTTGAACAATATCGACATATCTGATATCAGCAAAAAGTTAATATCGGACATCCCTAGTCAAAATAACAAGTTTATCACGTTAATTAATGTGCATCATTGGACTAAAACATAATTGATTACAATCCCAATTAATCATGATTAATCCATAGCTACCCTGTGATTAATCTGATTACATTTAATTATTTCTCCCTCTATGTTGGTTTTTTCAGTTAAATATTTAAATTCAGCTCCACATCAGAAGAGTCTCTGCAGAGAAGTGATGTTGAAATTGTGTTTCTGATCTCATACTAAGGTGGATTTGATATTATATTGGATTTGAAAAGATTTTTGGGGTCGCAGTGATGGCAGAGAGGGATCTCTCCGTGATGAGATAAAAAAGTTCACTCACAGGACATGAATGAAGGCAGAAAAAAATGTCAGTATAACTCCAACATCCCAAATCTGTAATTCAAAAATCACCAAAACATCTCAGGGAAATAAATTATCCTGCAGAATTTGAACTTTTTTTTTTTCCTTCTTCTTCTACATTTCACCTAATCTGCTTCTCCTGCCTGACGCCTGATATCGTGTGTCGTGTTGTTATATTTATCAAACTGCCATCCCTCCATCCCACCCTCCTCCTACGCTTACGTATGTTGCACACATTTTGCCTCCGAATACAATCAGGAAAATATTCCATTATTTCTGGTCGGTGGGTTACTGTTATTTGAAGAGTGGATTAGAGAAATAGAGAGGAAAAGGGAGACAGTGGGTCGTGTTTACCCTTGAATGGGCAGAATAAAAAGGGGAGGATGTCTGCTTTCAGGAAATCACAAGATAGGACAAGGGAGGCTTGTTTTCTCCGTCCTCTTTTCAAACAGCCTTATTCATGCCACAACTCCTCCTCCATTCTGGTGAATTCAAGAGGATTCAATCTCCATTCTGGTCCAGCCACTTGCTTTGCCAATCAATGTGCCTCTCCCCTGTGTGGGGCCTTTAGTGTCCTTCTTTATTCTATAATGTTTTAGGAAAAGGGAGGTTTGTTCTCATTATTTGTATTTGAAATCCCTGAGAGGCTGCGGAGCAGGAAGGGATGGATTCTTTTATAAAGGGACAGGTAAATGTGAGTGAATTAAAGGAGACATTTCTGTGCTGCTTTCTGTCTTTTTTTTTTTTTTTTCTTCTGCCCCTTGGTAACAAATACGCACAATTTATTTGTGGCGATGTCTGTTGATTGAATTGTATAAATATAAGCGCGGCGCTCTCTTTGAAGTATTATTAGCATGACAGTCTGAAAGCGCCATCATGTTCCATAATACACGCCGGAGCAACATGTTTGACATCAGGTAAT